GGACACAAAGCGCGGCCACCTCTTCCCGGAGAGACGGGGGTGGGGAAGGGCCGGAAACGCCTCGATCCTACGGACAAGAGTGCTTACAAAAAAAAACCCCACCACAACCCAAAAAACAATCCCAAATACAAAAAACATTAAAACTCTTCCGTATTTCTGGTTTCCACGCGGTCTAAAAAGTCGCTATGACTCGTGGCTTTGGTTTTTTTTTGTTTTCGCTGCTTTTTCTTTGTCAGAGAGGGCTTTTTCTTTGTCGCGTTTCCTCTTCTCACCGTTATTCCACATCTCCTTTAAACTCTCTTTGTTTAAGCATCTCGATCTTTTTATTTCCTTGTCCGCTGACCATCGGAATGTTTGGTGTTTTTTCTTCTCTCATCTCGTGTATAGGAAATGAAAGAAAAGAAGGAAAAACTTGAGGAAAAAACAGCTCACAAAGAAAAGAAGAAGGAGATAGTAGAGGTGAGGCCCTAGATTTAGGGCCATGGGGGAGGGTTTTATAAGAGGCTTGCTGTAGGTAGTGAATATGAAGGAAATAAAGACCGAGCTCATAAGGGAGAGGGACAAATGAAGAGCAAGCTATAGGATAATTGTGGAGAATGAACCTTGAAAGACTTAGCATAGTCAGCATGCCCTGGTGAGAAGGAAAAAAAAAACCGTCAAACAAGGGAATGGAGACGTGGTCAAGTAGGAATTAGGAGGATTGTGGCACAGGAGATGTGGCCCTGGGCCTACTGAGGTATCCTGAGATACATAAGGAGTGTAAGTTGAAGAAGGTGGGGGAGGAAAGGTGAGGAAATGCACAGACTGATGAAGGTCAGAAGGGATCTGGAAGCATATGTACTACAAGCATAGGCAAAGTCATTAGCTGGCAACCAGAGAGATGTTCTGATTGTGGGGATGGGATGGCAGCAGCCTGTCAGGATGTGAGCTTGTGAAAGTCAAGGAGGTTCATGGTAGGAAGGGACTGGAAGGACTGGTTTTGGAAAGAAGGTTGGGAGGGGGATTTTAGCTGGAATGGTGGGAATAAGTGTCTGAGTAACAGTGCGGAGGTCACTTACTTCTGATGCACATGTGAGTCTGGGGTCTGAAGCAACTAGAGCTGTGGAAATTGTTCTTGCACTTGCAGCAAAGAGCACATGGGCATGTCATCCTGACACCAATTTTTGCTCTGACTGATTTATTTCATTCAGGATGAGGAAAATGGAGCTGAGGAGGATGACGAAGAGAATCCTGATGATGTGGATGAGGAAGAAGGTGGTGATGAGGATGAAGGTAGGAATAATTGGGAGGAATCGGGGTGTGGGGGTATAGAAGATCATGAAGGGAAGTTCCTCCTCTGAGCCCTCTGACTGAGATTACATTCCCTTAAATGCTACTTCAGTTAACCTGTGATTTTCTCTCTTGCTTGTGCTTAGAAGGAGATGAGAATGGGCAAGAGCAAGATGGTCATGCAGAAAAACGATCTGCAGAGGAGGAAGAGGTGAGTGATTGTGGTGAGAAGGAACTGGGTTACCTGCTGTGTGCTGATCAAATCTGCAAGGACGCTGTTGCTGAGTGCCTCAAATTGGCTGCGGGTCTCATTGCTGCTTCAGCAGCAGCAGAGTAAACAAATCTGATGTGGCAAGGGGATAATAAACCCCTGTAGACTCCTTGTAGGATCCAGGTCCTTCCATAGCAGTCACAGTGCTGCATGTTTGAGAATCAAGGTGCTTGAGATTGTGCTGGACCATGACCCTTCAAACACCTGTGACTTTGGGCTTCAGACCAGAAGGTGGACTCATAGGGGCAGATCTCAGGGTCTGCCTGAAGTGACGTGAGCCTGGGCTGCTTATACCTCCTGAAGGTGACAGCATCGATGTCCCTCCAAATGGAGCTGCCCATGTCTCAGCCGTGGCTATCAACAGCGCAGTTGTGTCAGGCACTCAAGGATGCTTTAAAGAGGAGTGGATTTGGGGTGGGACAAAGAGATTTCCATATGGAGGAAAGAGCAGCAGTAAGAATTTGGAGGAGAAATGGTGTGCCTTGGTGTGGTGACTGTTCGATGGTAACTCCCCTTTGTCCTTCTCTCTGTCCTGTGTTAGAATGAAGTGGATCCAAAGAGACAGAAGACAGAAAATGGGTCTTCAGCTTGAGTCCTCCCCTCCCGTCTCCTCTGTTCCGTCCATCTCTCCTCCTCCATTCCAGCCTGTGCTTGCACTGTCCATTAGCCTCTGGCTTCACAACAATCTCAGATGAGGAAAGATTAGAAATGCTCTCAAACAGGGAAGACAGAGTTTCCTTCTCACCCAAAGATCTATCCCATCTGTGACGTTCCCCAGCAGAAATTATTCCAGTCCCCTGCATCCCCTCAGCTGTGCCCCATTTACAAACGATCCTCTTCTCTCAAGAATCTCATCGTTTCCTGGGGCCCAGTGCGTAACTGTGCCAGGCCCGCAGGCCAGGCTCTTCGCCTGCCCTCCATTTTTTTTGGTCACTAGTACGTCTGAGATTCTCGACAGCTTCTGCTCCCCAAACCTGCTGTCAGATGTCCTCCCTGAGTCCAGGAGGCTGCGGGCACAGATCTCATGGTGCGTTTTCCAGTCCTAAGCCTCCTCCCATCTGCTTTCCCACTGAACCCTGGGAGACAAAAAGAATATTACAAGCAAATAATGGTTCTATTAAACCGCACACAGAGATAGAATTTATTTTAAGCTTTTTTTTTTTCCCAAGTTTACATGACAGCTAGCTGGCCCTTGTGAATTTTTCAGAATATAATGGTTGTTTTTATATATGAATTTCATCTGAACTGTGTATTTTTTAATTTGGAGGCTTTTTTAAAACAAATCAAGAGAGAAACAATTGGGGACCAAACTTTGATTTCCATTTTTTCCCTTCGGATTTTCTTGTGACTGTTTTTTGTAAATTAAAGGCAATATAGCCACAGCATTTTCTATGGCACAGACATCACGAGGATGATAGATATAAATATATATATTGTTTTCAACTAGCACTGTAAATAAAAGCGTTTAAAAATATTTCAAACAGCTTGTGTGGGTGGTTGTGTCTGTACACCTTGGGTTATGTTCTGATCGGCTTGGTAGAAGGTTTGTGGAAAGATGGGGTGGTTTGACCACTTGGTATCGGTCACAGCAACAGGAGGCAAGAGCTTCAGTTCTTTGTCCCACCAGCTGCCTGGGAGAGATCTGTCAAGCATTTGTCTTTTTATCTCTGCAGACCTTCACAGTTGCTGGTGGTCTTTCTTCCTTTTCAGACTCGCAGTTTGGCAGTTGTGCAATGAGCCACCGGGAGCTGTATATAATACGGACTTCTGTCTGAGCATCAGGGCCTTTGTGTTTGTCCAGCTGCAGCAGCACATCAGATACTGAAAGCCACAGCCCTGGTGCTCCTGCCTCGGCCCCTTCCCAGCTTGGTGTCAAAGAGGGGATTTGGGCCCTTCTCCAGCAGGGATGGGCCTGGCTCAAATGGGCCCCTCTGGTCCAGGGACATCCCCATCTCCAGCTGGTGCTGTGTGTTTGCAGCACAGCCATTGCAGCCCTGGCAGCTGTAGCTGGTGAGGGTGCCTTACCCCCATAAACAGCATTTCCAAAGCAGGCAGCTGTTGCCTGGGACTGACTTGCAACACCCCCACCACTCCTGGGCTCTGTGATCAATGGGCTGCTTCAACCTGTGTGTAACTTTTAACTGCTTTTGCAGTTCTGTATTCCTACTATTGCTCCATTTTAAAAAATGATGGATTCTAGTCTCTGTCCAAGATACTTTCATGTTGAAGCAAGTCCTCAAGACTCTCCCAAACTTTTTGCTGGCTTGTCACTTTTTACTGTTCAATATTGAAGATAAATTATTAGCAGATAATACAATCTCTGCAGAGGCTGATTACAGTTTTCGTGCTTCTTCCCCACCACTGCAGCAGTGCCTGACTAGGACTAGTGAAGAATGTACTTGCCAATGAGAAGTTGTGTGGAGATAATCATCTCTGCTTTCTACATGGGTGCAACACCAGTACCTCTGGCTCTATCCAGCCAGTCATCCAGAAGCAGCACAGTTTCCTCCCTTTCCTTAGATCTGCAAAGTCCTATGCTGTATCTGGTGGTACTTCAGCTGACAAGGCAATCACAGCAAGAAGTTTTCCAGAATGAGTTGAGGATACAGCATTCTGCACTGCACTTCATCTTAAGCCTGCCTGTGTGCTTGGTTTGCATCCAAAATTGAAGATGTTTTATCATTCAGCCTAATTCTTCTTCCACAGTGAGATCAATTGTGTCATGCTGGTGTCATCAACATAATAGCAAAGCCCATCTTCACCAGTGACTCCTCAGAAGTAATGATACCATTCAGGGGCCTTATTCACCTTTCTGGGCTCTGCGCTAATTCTCCACTCATCTGATTTGATTCCTGTGACCATCTGTTAACCTCATCAGCTGGTTGCAGAACTCCCTCAGCCCTATTAGTTTTGCCAGAAGCTCCACTAGAAGTCAGTGCATGCAGGAATTAAACCGCAAGAGACTGGACAGAAAGTGTGTACCAGCTGAACCTAAACAGTCTTTTGATCAGGCCTTACCACTGGGTCAAGCGTGACTGTAAACCAGACTTTCGTTTTCAACAAGCCTGCAACAAAGTCTTCAGTGGTTTCCCTGAGTCCGGTTTTGGTGTCAGGAGGCCCATCCTAAGCACCTTGCTTACTCCAATCGCAGTATCATTAGAGCTGCCAAGGAGATGTCTGGTGCTCATGGTCCCTTCCTTGCTTCCCACAGCACCTGCTCCAAGCTTCTAGCAGCTCACATCCTGCCAATAGAGTGGCACTAGAGATTTCCTTCTTCCTCATCCTTCCCCAGGGCTGCTTGCTTTGAGAGAGCTGTGGAGGTGGCACAGTCATGCTCTTGCAGGCTCTGCTAGGCTTCCCTCTAGACTGACAATTTCTACTTCTGGTGGCCCTTTTGTGTGGTTTAGAAAAGCAAATGCAGACAGCAGTGCAGAGAGCAGGTAGAGCCACCTACCAGGTCTTAGCTGGATCCCTGTCCTACCTTGGCTGAAAAAGTGACCCCTTGTTTCCCGACAGGGATCACCAGATCACCAGCAGCAGATGACAAGTGTGAGAGGAGGCAGCTGAACTCCACATTGGTTGAATAAAACCAGTCAATGCTTCTGGTTAAGCAGAGCAACCTGACCTAGCTTTGGAGTAATCTCATCTGCAAACAAGGAGACTGGGCTGGAGATCTCCAGAGGTCCCTTCCTGCCCACATCTTTCTGTGATATATGAAGAAATAGAGGCCTGCCATGGAAAGTTTGAGCTGAGTCTGAAGAGATTTTGAAGCACTGAGCCCAGAAACGAATGCTCTTTGCATGTTATAGTCATAACTTCTTCATTTTGCCCTTAGGCAAATTATTGTCTTCACCCAGCCTTTTTGGTCTTTCATGTCAGTTTTAAGCCAATAAATGAAACAAGGCCAGTGTAATCAAAACCATCGCATGGGCAGAATCATGAACCCTCCTTCAGAGCTGGAAAAAGTGAGCCCTCCAGCCACTGCTGCTTTGGGAGGAAAACCCTTCTTGCTTCAGGAAAGTCCATAATCATAAAAAATAGAGAAGATTATTTACTTCTCTCCCCCACCCCTTCCTCTGGGATCAGGGGCTTCTTTAGGCCCTCTGGCTAGGAGATGCATTTCTCAGCCACTTCCTATACGCCATATGGGAAACTGAAACAACTTGCCTTCCCTGATCCTTAAGAAGCCCGTGTACTTTTCCCTCCCACCTCTCTCCATTATTTCAAGAGCCAAGTCAAAGACAGACACGCTCAAGGCTGATCCAGTCTGTGTGTTTTCTCAGCAGAGAAGTCTGAGTTTACATGTGTGGGCTCAAACTAGGGACTTACAGCAGATGGACAGGACTGGAGTGCTGCGTATCAGTGGGTGAGTTTGGGGTTTGTTTCCTGGTGAACTCTTGTGGTTTTAGCAAGACATAGACAGTCACAGGGGTGAGGAGAGACCTAAGGTGTTAATATTTAGGGGTCTCAGCCACACAAGGTGGTTTATGGTCCAAGTGTGGTGCTGTCAGATACAGCTTCGCTCTTGTGGGAGGCATTTTCTATCAGACTCAAAAGAGGATGCTATCCCATCTCAGACTGTTGAGGAAGCCTGTGTCCCAGCTGGAAGTATCTGTGCACTACGGTAGTTCCTTAGCCAAGCCTCAGAGAATGGGGATATCAGAGCAGGTAAGCTCCACTTTGTCAGGTGTGTCTGTGCAGGCTATGGCAGATGACTAGGTGACTTGCTGCAAATCACCCATCAAAGAGGACAGAAGAGCACGTGAGCCATGTATATGCTGTGGTTGATACCTAGCTGATGCTACCTGTCATTGGGAAGCTGTAGGAGCTGCACATTCTACACGATTTCCAGCAGTTTTTATAATGACATTTATTGTCCTCATTCTCTACCGTGTATCTTAACCACTTCATCTCAGAAAGTTCAGCTGAACATTTCCGATGTCCTAGTGAGGTTTAACATGCTTGGTATTCAGTTTAGTTGCTTAACCCATGAAGTAGTGTCATAATGTCAGCAGGGTGTTTGGCCACATGTCCTGCAATGAAGAATCTTGTCCCTAAGTCTGAATTGTTACTGGAGCTTCATGCATCCAAGATGGAAGGTCCTAAAACCAATGAAGGCTGTAAGATGTAGCAAAAACAGTCAGCTTCCAGAGCCCTATGATTATGCACATCTGCCTGTATCTCTCTGGCAGCTTAGGTACTGTCATGTGTCAGACTTTCCCAGGTCTCACAGCAAGTAATCCATCATTTTAGAATGCATTTATTCGGCTGAGTAATTTTTAATGACAGTTTTCAAAGACCCTTACCTCAAGCATCCTTCAGCAGCTTTTCTGTTGTTGCACATTCAAATGACTTCACAAAAAGGTCTTTGATGGACAGCAGGCCACAAGCATGAACTCAGGTTGCGCTCTGTTAGGCTTGTCCATAAGCACACCAGAAATCCCACCTGAAAACTTACAACTAGTTGCTGTTTTCCTCTGTGGAGGACAGTTTCTTAAATGGTACTTCTAAATTTTTTTCCTAGGCTAGATCCAATGTTAAAAACAGCTAAGGCTGACAGATGTGGCTCCAACAAACCTCCCCAGCTTCCAGGATAGCATCATTGTAGATATGGACCCAGATTTGAGCTGAGAGTTTGCCAGTTCACAATTCTCCACAAGGTAAATTTCACAGAAGATTCAGAAGAGAAGTTTGGGAAAGCCAACCTTGCAATTCAAATGAATCATGAGGGTTTGCTCATAACTAAAGAAAATACAGACTGCTTCAGGGTTTGTGGATCCCTTTTCATAGCTGTAGAAATAAGCATTCTTGTAGAGCACAGTGTGCTGTGTTGACTGCAGTTTCTTGCTGGGAGAGGATCCTGTTCCACCTCAGTTTCTCTGTGTTTTAAAGGGTTTCCAGACCAGATCCTGGCTTAAGGTCTCCCATCTGTGGCAGGATTTCTACAGGTGGCCCAGTATTCCCCAGTACTGCTTTTGCTTTTACTTCCAAAGGTGAAAAGCCTGCAGATAGCTGGAGTCCTTTTAGCATTGGTCTACAGCTTTCCTGCCTCAAGAGCCCTCTGGTGGCACCAGGCTTCTCTCTGAAAGGCTGTGAGCAGTCAGTCATCTGAGTTTCTGCATACCCAAAGCATCTGGCACAGAGCACGCTGTGAGCTGTCTCTCAGAGTGGAAGAACTGGGAATGGCTCTGATCATGCTGCTGGTGTTATAAGAGGCCTAACTCCAACCTGAAGAACTGAGAAGTTCCTGTGTGGTCAATCAGCGTCAGATTTGTCTTGGCTGGGTGCCCATCGGGTTATGTGAACGCACACAGGTGCCTCTCTGGCTTCCAGGTGAAACAGTCCAAGACAGGTCTAGAGGACCTCCACTAGAAAGACACATATAAATTCACACCACTTACAGCCTTCTTAGCTGTAGCTGATTGTAGCCCCTTTCCCTGTACCCTCCCCAGTACCCAGTTTCCTCTCTTATTGGATCTCC